GTCTCCAATTCGCAATTCAAGCTCCTTATGCAAGTTACAACAGCGGCTAAGCAGGTTATAGCGAAATCCTGGAAATCCCCCACTCTTAGTGTTGCTGCCGTCAAAACCAGAATAACACAAGCCATGATACATGCAAAGGTGGAAGCCACAATACAAGACATGATCCCTAAATTTCTGCACATATGGAACCCCTGGGTAGAGCACATCCTCCCGCCTAACTTTGACGAATCACTCCTTCTCCCTTGATTTCTATACTGTGTGCCCAGGATACTGTCAATAGTCCTTAGTGGGCTACAAGTAGAGTCTGCTGTAAGTTAGTTGATTGTTCATGGAGTCACTGTTATTGTTCCTTTTCCCATACCCCCCCTCCTCCCCGTCTGACCCCCCTCCAAACTTCCCCCTACTTCTTCAATGCACTTAGGAGATGTTATTTCGATTGGCTAGGACGATAATGTCATCTATTGTCGACTTTTTTGTTCCTGCTTTTGCTAGAATTGTATAGACATCTGTAATGTGTTCCACATTCATTTTTCTTCATTGTCCTACTGCCTCTTCAATGTCCAATGTATATCAGCAAAGTCTCCTTGTTTGTGCTGTTAAAATTTCTCTCTTGTTAATAAAAATGTTTGAACAAGAAAATACCTGGGCTGCTGATAAATTATGAAATTATGTATGCGCTTCCTGTGTCTGGATTGTTAGGTTTAAAAACCCCAGAAGGAGGAAGTGGAGAAGGAGAGAAAGGAGCTGTGGTGCTGTCTGTTCCTGTTATATGCCAAACAAAACAGGAGTTAATTCTTATAGTTATTATAGACTAGTAACACGCTTTTAGTAATCATCACATTTTAAGCACTTTAAAGTGAACCTACTATATGTCCAAAAATGTACACTAAAGTATTTTTATATTTTGAACAAATAACAAAATAACTTTAACACAAGCACATACTCATCTCTGTGGCTGATGGCATTGTGGAGAAATTAATCTTTAAAATTGACATTTGAAGCATTAAAATCCTAGCTATTTTCTATTTAAGGTGTCATGCAGCGGTAAATGACCACTGCTCAGTTCTCTGGCATTCTCAGAGGAGACAGCTCTCCTCTGAATGCTGAATGCTTGTTTATGAAGTGGTGTGGATCGCTGCTCCTAATGAGGAGTGTAGCGATCTACAAATGCTTTGAACTCTAGAAAATGTCTCCTGTTACTGTAATCTCGTGAGATTACAGTAAGAGATCAGTCAAACACACAGTTTACTAAGCAGCGGTAAATTACCGCTGCTTTGTTGCTGGCTCTCTCAGAGGAGACCGCTCAGTACCTCACTACTCTGCACACACTCTCTCTCTCTCTCTCTCTTCTTCACACACATATATATCATGTTTCTAATTTGCTCTACCCCATCGGGGGTTGTGAAAGGCAGGGGGGCTTTTCCACAGTCTTGGGGCTCTGATTGAGGAAGAAGGAAGTCAATAATCTTCCTCTTTCCTCCTCAATTCTCCCGGGATTCACTCTTCTTTCCCCGATTCTCCTCCTCAGGGCTGGAGAATTTGGGAGGGATAATTTTGACACAGATCGCCAGTGAAGGGCTGACATTGCTCCTTCATAAACTGTCCATTTCTGTTTCTGTCAGTGACAGATTCTCTGTGTGCAGAGATGATCAGTGGAGAACATGTTCTCCACTGGTCATCTCTGTTTCATAAACTACTAATGATCTGAGATCAGCAACGATCCTCAGGATTGCCGTTGATCTCACTTTCATAAACAGACACCTAAAGCAGAAGTTAGCAGCCTGCCAGAACTCTATTTTAAATAACCATCAGGTGTTTCTGAGCTGTTAGAAATTGACTAGCATCCAACTGTTTTGGGGGTCTTGGATGTCTCCAAGAATAAATTGCTTCACACTGCATGCAGCTAAAGGTCAGGGAAAGCTTTCTTAAACCTTTTCTACTGCATGTAAAATACATGTAAATACTTTAAAGTCTATAGTTTGGGTACATATGTTTTTTAAAAGCACATCTCTGGGCAAATGTTATGTCCCTCCCATTCTGCCCCCCCCCCAAAACAAAAAGTAAAGGTATCTGGAAGTGTCCACATCACTCAGACTAGGGACCCGTCATATTATATGGTTACAAGTTTAGTTATGTAAAGTCCAGAAATTAGTTATAGGGGAGGTGAAGATTAAAGCATAGTGGGGGTAAAGGGTGGGATGGTGTTCCTGGAGATAAGTATTTTTATGAGAAGCTGAACTCCAGTAAGACCAAAAATCCCTCTTTGCAGTGGCTGTGCATTTATACTGCAAGGGTTATCTACGTGTTTTTGTCAAGGAGACGTTGAAAAGCAGTTTTAATTACCTGATCTTCTGCTCCTGCAGGCTCCTCTGCACTGCTAGGCTGTTTCCTGCAGCCTTTTCTCCTTTATGGTCTAACAGTCTAAGGTCTTCTGATGTCATCAAAATGCCATCATAGTCCTCCATTGGATGTGGGGTCGATGAGGAAGAGTCCACTGCAGGGGCGGACTGACAACTCATGGGGCCCCAAGGCAATAGGGGATCGTGGGGCCCCTGTGTCCTTGCCCACACTCAAAAAAAGCCTATAAAAGGTACCAGGCGCATTTCATGGGGCCCCCTACTGACCCCGGGCCCTCGGGCAGTACCCGAGTGCTCGAATGGTCAGTCCGCCCCTGGTCCACTGTCAAGCCATAGGGAAGTGCCATCTGTAGTGGGAGCAGAAGAATAGGTAAGTAAAACTGCTTTCCTTATCCCTAGGCCTAAATGAGCAGTTAAATTTTGCAGTGCAGGTTCAAACCTTTTGCAAGGGAGGGTTTTAAGTTTCCTGGAGTTACACTTTAAGCTGACATGGCCTACTGCTGATTTTTGTTTGGACACTTTTCTTTTTGTCACAGTAAAGATCAGTTTGGGGATGAAGTAGATTTTTTGGGTGACAAGCTCTTATATAAAGGAAACTCCCTCTAATGTTATATTAGCAATCACCTGTCTCATATCAAGGAATTTATTTTACATGACCTTTTATTGTGCAGAAATAGTTCAATTTTCAGTGCTTTTATTTGTCAGTCTGATGAATTAATTGATAAATTGAGAGCTATGATCTAAAATCTAAATCTAAAAACTTTTAGGGATCATGATAATTATTTCTTCTGCAAACGATGGCTAAAAAGAATAAACAACATTTTATTCAGTCATGTTAACCACTTGCCCTCCAAAGGATTTACCCCCCTTCCTGACCAGGCCATTTTTTGTGATACAGCACTGTGATACTTTAACTGACAACTGCGTGGTCATGCAACACTGCACCCAAATTAAATTTATGTCCCTTTTTTTCCCACAAATTGAGCTTTCTTTTGCTGCTATTTGATCGCGTCTACATTTTTTATTTTTTTGTGCTATAAACAAAAAAATTACCAACAATTTTAGGGAAAAAAAACAATATTTTTGACTTTTTGCTATTAAACATTGCCCAGAATTGTTTTTTTTTAAAACTCAGATTTTGTCATAAATTTAGGCCAAAATGTATTCTGCTACATGTCTTTTCTAAAAGAAAATCCAAATACGTGTAAATTAATAGGTTTATGTGAAAGTTATAGCATCTACAAATGGCGGTATATATATATTGGAATTTCTTTCTTTTTTTTATACTAGTAATGGTGGTGATCAGCAACTTATAGAGTAACTGCGGTGTGGGCATTCTGACACTGGGGGGGGAACTAACTGTCACCGACATCCCCATTGACACTAATACAGTGATCAATGCTAATAAAAAGCACTGACGCTGGGCAGGAAGGGGTCAATATGTTGGCGATAAAAGGATTAACTGTGTGCTGTGTGCTGTTTTACTGTGTGCTGTGTGTGTGTTTTACAATTATTTATTATTACAGGTACTTATATAGCGCTGTCAATTTACGCAGTGCTTTTACATATATATTGTACATTCATATCAGTCCCTAACCGTCAAGGGGTGTACAATCTAAGGTCCCTAACTTACATTCATACATACACATACTAGGGCCAATTTAGACAGGATCCAATTAACCTACCAGCATGTCTTTGGAGTGTGGGAGGAAACCGGAGTTCCCGCAGGAAACCCACGCAGGCACATTGCTTTGTATTGCTCTGTTATGCAGAGCAATACAAAGCAGTGTGCTGGAGATGACAGGGGAGAGAGTTGTATTGTTTACATACAGACCTCTCCCATGTCAGAGATACTCGGTGATCGCTGTGTGCCAGCGAGGAATCATCAGCTGGGACCCAGTGATCGACAGCTAAAGCCGCCAACGGTGGCACGGGTAGGGTGCCCCCTACCTGGAAATGCAAAATCATGTATATATATACGTGATTTTTCACAGCCCTGCAACCCCATAGCAGTATTTCTGCTATAGTATGGTGGACAAACAGTTAAAGAAAATAATATAGGTAATTGGTGATAACTGGTATATCCCAGGGCATGATCCTAGACTTACAGAGCATCTAACATCCTATTTTAGAAAGAGTCAGGTTTGCAACTGATTAGATAGAAACAATTGAGTACTGTCCGTGATACTTTTTTTATTTGCACTAACATACAATTTTGAGGACAAGCTTTCAGGGTATGTCCCCTTCTTCAAAGTCCAAACAGTACTATTACAAATCACAAAGTCACAATCATGATCCAATTTGCTCCTGCAGGGAAAAAAATTCCTTCCTGATCCTCCGAGAGGCAATCGGATATTCTCTGGATCAACTTTACCTATCTTCTCTGTCTTAGAGCTGGAGCAGGACGAATGCAGCATTGTATCGATGCTGCATTTACCTAGGTGAGTATGAATGTTTATTTTTTTTCAAAACTCATATTTCTCTTTTATTCATTTATTTATTACATGTACTTATATAATTCCATCAATTAACTTTTACATATACATATTCAGGGGCGGACTGACCATTTGGAAACTCGGGCACTGCCCCCAGGGCCCGGGGTCAGTAGGGGGCCCCATGAGATGCCCCTGGTACCCTTTTCATAGGCTTTTTTGAGTTTGGGCAAGGACACAGGGGCCCCATGATCCTCTATTGCCCGGGGGGCACCATGAGTTGTCAGTCCACCCCTGTACATATTGTACATTCACATCAGTCTCTTTTTAAGCATCTGCAATAGTCTGTCTTTATTTGTTTGCTTTTGTGTTTTTGAAATGTTAGTAACATTCTTTTTTTTTTTTTTTTTTTTTAAGGTATCCAGGGGCTGAGAAATCTCTAACAGGGCCACAGACACAGTGCTGGATTACCAAATAGGCAGATGGCAATGACCTATGGGTTCCACACTGTTTAAAGGCCCCGTGACAATGGATCAAAATAATATTGATTTGATCTTGAAAAAAAAAATTACAATAGAGCTTTCTAAAATTGTTTACAGAAGAAAAAAATGAATCAACTCAAAGAAATGAAAACTTTACATTAAATAATCTATGGAGAAAATACTGTGTTTGAGAGAGATTTTGGCCTAATTTTCTGTCCAAGTGTCAATCTTGTCATTGAGATCGCAAGACAGTGATATCTCAATTATAATAGCAGCTTTGTGGTATGAGTTCACAGCAAAAAGCAACTTACAGAATTCCTAACTAGGGATAAGCTCTCCATGTGTTCTATAGGTTCAGACCAGGGGTGAACTGACAACTCATGGGGCCCCCGGGTAATAGGGGATCATGGGGCCCCTGTGTCCTAGCTCACACTCAAACCACACCCAAAAAAGCCTATGAAAGGTACCAGGGGCATCTCATGGGGCCCCCTACTGACCCCGGGCCCTGGGGCAGTGCCCAAGTTCCCAAGTGTTCAGTCCGCCCCTGGTTCAGACTGAACTTAACTTGTTTTGGAGTTCATCCGAACACCAAACTTTCAGTCTGTTCAGCAGGAGCCAAACTTCATATATAGTAGTAGATTTATCCCCCACTACTATATGTAGCTGTTTCCTTCTTCTGCCGTCAATGTTGTTAGGGTAGCAGCAGTTGCCAGCACCCTCCACATACTTGGCATCCAATGATGTCATCTGGCCACATTCATTTATTGGCCGTGAATTCCTGGTCATGTAAACAAAGTGGCAAGGGGTTCCCCTCATAATTCATACCAGCCCCATCAGGTCTGATGTGGATTTTAAAGGGAAGCACCCATGCAAAAAATCATGAAAAAAATATAGTAGTATGTTTTTCTCCTACTACTATAGATGACATCTTCTTCTGCTGTCAAGGTTTTGAGGGGTAACCCCAGGCAAAAAAAAAATACAGCTTATGGAAATTATGAGGAGACCCCACAGCATTTTCTATTTTGTGCGGGGTCCCTAATTAACATCTATATTGGACCCTTAAAATCCATGAAAAAAAAATTTAAATTCATAATAGATTCAAAGGTTCTGCTATGAATTATAGGAGGAACCCCATGGCATCTTTTATTTTGTGTGGGTTCCCTGGTTAACATCTATAGCAGACCCTCATCTAGAATAAGGGGCTAATAAAGATGAAGGGAATCCCCAGTTGTTTGTTTACAAACAGATTTAAAAGCAGCTGAAGCTGTGATTTGCTGGCAGTTTAAATGGCATTTTCTCTTCCTTTGTAAATGTCAGTTTTGCTGTAGTAGGTTGTAGGTTGT